TATACCATGTACTGATTCATGTATACCATGTACTGATTCATGTATACCATGTACTGATTCATGTATACCATGTACTGACTCATGTATACCATGCACTGACTCATGTATACCATGTACTGACTCATGTATACCATGTACTGATTCATGTATACCATGTACTGATTCATGTATACCATGTACTGACTCATGTATACCATGTACTGACTCATGTATACCATGTACTGACTCATGTATACCATGTACTGACTCATGTATACCATGTACTGACTCATGTATACCATGTACTGATTCATGTATACCATGTACTGATTCATGTATACCATGTACTGATTCATGTATACCATGTACTGATTCATGTATACCATGTACTGATTCATGTATACCATGTACTGATTCATGTATACCATGTACTGATTCATGTATACCATGCACTGACTCATGTATACCATGTACTGATTCATGTATACCATGTACTGATTCATGTATACCATGTACTGATTCATGTATACCATGTACTGACTCATGTATACCATGTACTGACTCATGTATACCATGTACTACTCATGTATACCATGTACTGACTCATGTATACCATGTACTGACTCATGTATACCATGTACTGACTCATGTATACCATGTACTGACTCATGTATACCATGTACTGACTCATGTATACCATGTACTGATTCATGTATACCATGTACTGATTCATGTATACCATGTACTGACTCATGTATACCATGTACTGACTCATGTATACCATGTACTGATTCATGTAAACCATGTATGTATACCATGTACTGATTCATGTATACCATGTACTGATTCATGTATACCATGTACTGATTCATGTATACCATGTACTGATTCATGTATACCATGTACTGATTCATGTATACCATGTACTGACTCATGTTTACCATGTACTGATTCATGTATACCATGTACTGATTCAAGTATACCATGTACTGATTCATGTATACCATGTACTGACCATGTACTGATTCATGTATACCATGTACTGATTCATGTATACCATGTACTGACTATACCATGTATGTATACCATGTACTGATTCATGTATACCATGTACTGATTCATGTATACCATGTACTGATTCATGTATACCATGTACTGACTCATGTATACCATGTACTGATTCATGTATACCATGTACTGATTCATGTATACCATGTACTGACTTATGTATACCATGTACTGATTCATGTATACCATGCACTGACTCATGAATACAACGTACTGATTCATGTATATGTACTGATTCCATGTACTGATTCATGTATACCATGTACTGATTCATGTATACCATGCACTGACTCATGAATACAACGTACTGACTCATGTATACCATGTACTGATTCATGTATACCATGTACTGATTCATGTATACCATGTACTGACTCATGTATACCATGTACTGATTCATGTATACCATGTACTGACTTATGTATACCATGCACTGACTCATGAATACAACGTACTGATTCATGTATACCATGTACTGATTCATGTATACCATGTACTGACTTATGTATACCATGCACTGACTCATGAATACAACGTACTGATTCATGTATACCATGTACTGACTTATGTATACCATGCACTGACTCATGAATACAACGTACTGATTCATGTATACCATGTACTGATTCATGTATACCATGTACTGATTCATGTATACCATGTACTGATTCAAGTATACCATGTACTGATTCATGTATACCATGTACTGATTCATGTATAGCATGTATTGACTCATGTATACCATGTACTGATTCATGTATACCATGTACTGACTCATGTATACCATGCACTGACTCATGTATACCATGCACTGACTCATGTATACCATGTACTGACTTATGTATACCATGTACTGATTCATGTATACCATGTACTGATTCATGTATACCATGCACTGACTCATGTATACCATGCACTGACTCATGTATACCATGTACTGATTCATGTATACCATGTACGGTAAAAGGCCTTCGGTTCGGTTCGGTATATGAGATATATGATTATAATGCATGCGCAGAAAATTGACATCTGGCAAAGAAATGCAAAGATTTTGACAAAATGACATATTACAAAAGGTTTAAAAAGGTTAATAAAATGACGGTACGAAAACCGAAAATACCGACTTTTTGGATTGCATTACGGTATACCGAACAGAAGGCAAAACACCGTGGTTCTACTAATACCACGGTATACCGTTTCACCCCTATTTTACACCAGAAGTGTCTGTTGTAGATTTAACAAGATACAAACTATCAGTAACTATTCCATAACGATCAAATATTGTTTTAGTCGAACGAACAAGTTGTTCGAGATAACAGCTGTTCGAGGTGACAACACACCGGACTTGAGTTGACGGGCTTTATCTCAACGCCGTTCTACCGCGTTACCTGAAGGAATTTTCAGAGATGGCTTGTGGCCAGTAATGTACGTGTCGTTTCACATGCTTGCGCTACATTAGTCTCGGAAAGGTATGCAGGATGACATCGTAAACAACACGTGGGTCTTCTCAAGATTCCAACAGATTATTTTATTCCAGGCGGTAGGGTAGCCTTATGGTAGACTAACAACTCTCTGAAATGAACATATTTTACAGATAAAAGTCGATAGTAAAAAAAATATATAATATAATGAAAAGGAGCCCTGAGACATTTTTCATTTTCCTGAAGCTGTGGAAATCCAGACTTGCCACATTTTCTAGACTTGTGTGGGTTTTCTTGGATTTACTTCTTGATTATCTAGCGTGCAAAGAGGATTACAGTGTAATAAGTGTATTGGATTATGGGTTCTTGATTGGACTGTCGGAATACAGGTGCCGGATTAGACAATATTTTAATGATCATAATATCGTTGAAAAATGGCAGGACCAAAATTTTATGCCGGTTTTGACAGTTTGTCGGATTAGACAGATGCCGGTGTTGGCAGGTTTCACTGTATTTGCTTCAGGGTCTGTATGACAGACGAGCCTTATGGCTAAAGCGGCCGCTCGTAACTTTGTGGAACCAGATACCCTTTGGGGTACAATTTAGGATGTTCACCCCATGATACTGAAATTCTAAAGGAAGGCACGTATTTTATGTTTGAGAAAGGAGGCATCTGTGTTTATTTAAGTTTGAGAAAGTAGGAATGTCAGTAAAGTTTTAATTTTTTGTGAGAGTAGGATTTGTACATGTGGTTTAAGTTAGAGGTGCTCAGTGATTCTTATTTACGAACCGACAGTTATTCCTTGGTTCTCCTTAACACTGGAAAACGTCCAAGGCATACTTCTTTCAGGCTCTTACTTTGCGAGGCGCATTCGTGACCAACTCGTGTTATTCCCGGAGAATGAATGAGTATGGTTTAACGCCGCTTTTAGCAATATTCCTGCAATATCACGGCGGGGGACACCAGAAATGGGCTTCACACATTGTACCCATGTGGGTATTCGAACCCGGGTCTTCAGCTTTAACCATTTTGCTTTAACCTTTAGCAAGCGAAATCGCGCGCTCATGATTCAGGATTATCTCCCTTGTGAAGTAATACGTTATTTACCTTGGCTATAACGTAATTAATCTTCTTTCGAGAGATAATGCCTCATAATACCTTCACTAAAGCCCAGATAAGCTGATATTAACATGCAAATCTTTCATCGTAACCAATCTCGTGATTTTAATACCTTCATTAACAGAGAACTTGTTTGGGGGGTGTTTTTCATCCACAGAGTTTTTTTCTACTGCCCATCTTCGATTATCCAGAGAATTTGAATGCATATGACTGTTGTATATGATGCTCAACAGAGGGCGTCGTTGCTCGTACTGTAAACCACCCGTTTACCACAACAGATCGATTACACACAAGACCTCGTGATATGGCAAGATTATTTCTGAGTGCGGCGAAAAAACAACACTCACTAATGATATTCTGCTCTCTCTTTGTGTCTCTCACCTCCCCTCCCCCGTCTCTGTGGTTTCACGACCCGTGAAGATTCGGGTTAGAATTGATCTTCAGTAACCCATGCTTGTCATAAGAGGCGACTAACGGGACTGGGTGGTCAGGCTTGCTGACTTGGTTGACACATGTCATCGCATACCAATTGTGTAGATCGAAGCTCATTCCATATAGATGGAATAGTGGCGTAAAACGCGTAATACGGCGTAAGACTAAACTTACTCACTATGGTTTCACTTAACATGTAACCTGCCTTTTCAATTATAAGATTGAGCCAATGCACTCAACGAAAGGCACATAAGCACACGCACGCGCACACGCACACGCGAAAATTGCTGCCTTCGTGAAATGTTTATGCGTCTCGCTGAACGTACTAGACATCGTCCCACATCACACACTGACGTCACACCTTATACTTGCTAAAGACTGTCAATGCAGGAATCACGTAACAGGTTGTTTTCTGTTGTTTCTTAACACCCTACCCAGCAATATCCCAACGACATGACGGCGGTATGTTCATAAAGAAGTCTGGACCAGACAATCCAGTGATCAACATCACGAGCATCGATCTACGCAAATGGGCTACGATGACATGTGTCAACCAAGTCAGCGAGTCTGACCACTCGATCCCGTTACTCGCCTCTTACGACAAGCATGGGTTACTGAAGATCAATTCTTAGCCGGATCTTCATGGGTCCGACGTTGATTGTGGGTCAGCGTAACCTCGTGGACGTCGATCATGCGATCAACCACTACATAACTGACACAGACGAATATCATCGCTCTAGTTAGAATATTAAAGACTTCAACTTAAATCTAAAAAACAACAACACGGTAGTGGGGTAGTGTAGTGGTTAAAGCGTTTGCTCGTCACGCCAAAGACCCAGGTTCGATTCCTCACATGGGCACAATGTGTGAAGCCCATGTCTGGTGTCCCCCGCCGATATATTGCTGGAATATTGCTAAAAACGGCGTAAAACCACAATCACTCACTCACTCATCACATAAAAAACATATACTTGACCTACCTTGCGCAATGGCCGCCGGACCAGCAGGTCGGTCTTCATAGAGATGTCCCTGGCGAATCATGTACTCAGTGACAAGATCTATGTCATTGAGATAAACATTTAACCGATTTAGCATCTTCACGCTGTAAATGTTCCCATATTCTTTAGTCCACTCGAAGTTCGTTTCAGGACCCTTCCAGAAGGGAAACGCCCCAAGCACTGGTACCCCTCTCGGACCAGGCGGTAGTTCTCGACGACCCTTGGAGAGGAACATGATTGCCGAGACGACTGCTGCAACTACCGCTACCACCGCAGCGTAGCCAGGACTGATGATGTACGAGAGGAGCGATAGCATATTCCCCGCAGTTGACTGGTGATTCAACAGAGCGTAGTGGGGAAAGCCTGTTGGCTGTGCATGTACGTACACCCAAGAGCTCCGCCGAGTTAGAGGGATGTAGAGAGCGAGGGATGTGGAGAGCGAGCTGTCACTCTGAAATGAAGCGGAAATATGACAGTCGGCAATGAGTCATGAGAGACATTAGAAGTACCACAGGATATTTAAGATTACTGATCTTTACTGCTTGAGAGATATCGTTTGACTGCACTTCGATCCCGTGAAACTGTAGAATTCCCCATGGCAGTTCCCACAGACAGGTCTCGAGCCGCTGTAAGCTGGCGAGGAATCGTGAGGCTATATTTGTCTGTTTATAGCACCCTCGGCCCTACCATGCTAAGGTCAACTTGTTGCATGCCAGTCAAACTGGAACAGGGAACAAGAAAACTGGTTGGAGTTGGGATGGGATTTGGTGGGGATGGGTATAAGTATAGTCTGTCTCACAGTCCCTGAATCCTCATTATTTCCCCTACTGCCTAGCCCTCCCCGCAGTGCTAAAGCCCTAACTGAAGCAAGTCTAGGTTTCCCCAGGTTCAGCTGAATCTCCCAAATCATTAGTTAGTCTCGGGTAGGTGTAATAGTTAGGGTTGGGTTCCCGGGGTGGTATGTATTTATAAAAGGGTGGGACAAAATCCCACCCGGACAAAACCCCATAGGACAAAATGTCTGCACACTGCGGACAAAATCCCAACAGTGTGAAAATGTTACAATTTATTTTGAAACATATATTTTTATTTTTCCTCATAAATAAGCAGAAATGTTTTTATATTTTTTAATGTGGGATTTTGTCCGGTTGGGATTTTGTCCGTCCCCCATTTCTACAGACCCCAGTGTCAACGGTTCCGGGTTTCACGCAACGTATATCTTGTCAACCCAACACAAGCTGATTTACATATATAATGTACATTCGGCATGTATCCTTTTAACTCCATACGTTCCTTGTTCATAACTGGGAACCAGACCGAAAAATGAAAAATGATATAAACAGGATGTGTGTAATGACCAGCATCCTGTTCCATAGCCCAAGTTCGTCATGTCTCGCATACCTGTTCCGGTATCCACCCCCGAGTTAATCAACTGACTGGATCACACGAAAACTTATCGCTAAATCCGACGCTAGTTACCTACATCATATTACTCTATCAATTTACAGGATGGGGCCTCACACAGCCTGTCAGCATTCAATCTTTGGGCACCGTTCCAACAGCTGGTCTTAATTCTCTCTATTTACACTTTAAGTACAAAAAGTACATGTATATGAAGGATCTCTCTCTCTCTCTTTACGGTACCGTGGGGCCTGTACGGCAGTAAATCCTCCCTCAGCATTCTCCAGCAGGTTTATTGACATAGCTCAGTATGTAAACAGATGGTGATGTTTACAAATGTATATGCATTCGCTAGAGAAGTTGGCGCATTACAACTCGATTACAAGCAAATCGTTTGACAGCTACGCTTGTAATGTAACTACAGCTAAGGCATCCTGATGGTTCAACAGAACACTGAAACAGCAAATCGATTTGTGTCAGAACGGATCGCTGTGTAGGTCTGAATATAGTCTGTCTCACAGTCACTGAACCACATTATTTTCCCTACTGCCAAGCCTTCTCTGCAGTGCTAAAGCCCTAAATAAAGCAAGTCTAGATTTCCTCAGGTTCAGGATCTCTGGTCTCCCTGGGGCTCCTTTTCAATTTAAATGGGCTTGTTTGTTACTATGAAAATTACATATATTCAGAGACTAAGCATTAGTCTAGTCTGAATATTCCCCAGCGTTAAACACGACAAGCCAATCTATGACCTATCTAAGTGTTACCGGCCTTGTCTGTCAGAGCGATAAACATCTTCACTGTAGAACGATTCCGATCATGTTTGTGTGTTGTTTAATGCCGCAAAAAACACTTCCATCTACATGACAGCGGTTACATCTTGTAAGAGGTGACAAATGGGATCTACAGCGGTTACATCTTGTAAGAGGTGACAAATGGGATCTACAGCTCGCCGCTATTTTTTTATAATGCCGTAGCATCCCATTTACGTCGATATTTGATACTCTGGTAAGTAGGTCAAGACTGAACAATTAGTGAACATGTTTTAAATAATGTGACGAAAACCCCTGATGAATCAAGGAAAGCAGAATGCGTGCAGTTCTTCAGATTGTTACGGAAATAACAAAGATTGAGTTCAGTGTTACGCCGCATTTAGCAATATTCCAGCAATATCACGGCGGGGGACACCAGAAATGGGCTTCACACATTGGGAATCGAACCCGGGTCTTCGGCGTGACGAGCGGGGTAGCCTATTGGCAGCCTCTGCCACGAGCGAGGCTGCCACTAGGCTACCCCGCCGTCTATAAATAACAAAGAGAATGGTCTCTATTGTGTAGTCTGTCCGACAGTCCCTGAACCACACTGCTTTCCCACTGCATAGCTCTCAAAAGAAATGTTAAAGCCCTAAATGAAGCAAGTCTAGACTTCCCCAGGTTCTGAATCTCCCGTCTCTCTGGGCCCCTTTTAAATTTAAATGGGTTAATTTGTTACTATAAAAATGATATATTTTCAGAGACTAAACGTTAGTCTATGTGTTGTGTTAAACAACTTTCTACAAAATCCCCCAAACCTTGAGTGATTGTGAACGATTTTAAATCAAAAGAACTTACCATAAATCGGCGAGGCAACTGGGAACATGTGAACTGAGACCCGGATTTCATTCAACTGGGAAGAAACTCAAGCCATTCAAGTCCGACCACCCGGGAATATCCGGGTTACATTTAATCCTCAGTAATCCAATCATGTCGTTAGAGCTGACTAACGGGGTCTACTCCTATTTGTGAGAACTCCCAGTTGTGAGACTCCCAGTTATGAGACAGTGGAGTCGGTAGTTTACAACGAAAATACACCATACTCCCCTGTCTGATAGAATAGATTCACCCAAGCTAATTACTGATTTGCTATGTAACTGAATGATTAACATACTCAGGTAAATGTCTTTAATAATTAAACACTTTGTGTAGGTAACTTCGTGATCAAAGAGAAATTAATTTACCTACTCAGATTTACTCCGTCTCCGAAACTACAAGCTATAGTTTAAGAAATAACTCTGAAATTTACAGTCGAAATGCCCCTTATGCCAAATTCCAAAGAGTCATGCAGTCTCAAAGAATTTTAAAACCTAATTACAAAACCAAAAAACAAGATTTATATTGATCTTAATTATGGCTCTTGTTCTTGTCAAATCGTTCATTGCTGCCTCAGGCTCGGATCTAGCGACCCAAACGCCGATACGTATAACAGACATTTAATAAACAGTGCATGTTGCTCTTGTGGATATCAACTACCCGTTATAACCTGGATAATTTTTTGAACGGAAACAAAGAATTAACTCCTTGTGTAAACCAGAAAATAGTTGAGTCCGTCCACGATTATATCATTACAACCTTCCAATTTTCACAGGGAAATACTGAAATTAACTCAACAACCTTCTCGTGATTGATTTATATTCCTACAATAGCTTGTTAGACACACACAACTGTAAGTCTCTAATTATGACTACTTAGAGAATAGTTGTATTTGATGTAATCTGTATATATTTATATGTACTTAAAATATATTTATGCAGTAGTCAATATCGATGACGCCACAGCAGTAATACTTCACCAATCCCAATTCATTTTCATAAATAAAAATAAAATATGTTCAAACCAAAATGACTTTCAAACTTCATAATAGTCAATAAAAATGTGTTATCATAATTACATATTCTTCTGAATAAATACAAAATTCAATGAACTATTTCTTCTGTGTAAATATAATCTTTGATAATCTATTTCATTAGTCAACTCATCGATGAACCATGCCTCCTGTGGGTACTGGGCTGGGCTGATCCCACTTTCATTGTAGGGATGTGGAAACACCAACCATGTGCACTGAACCATTAATTAATGTGTCTCACAACTGGGAGCTCTCACAAATGGGAGGACACCGACTAACGGATCGATGTTTTCCGATATATATGGTGAATTGGGAAGATATCCAACAGATATACCTATAAAGGTTCCAATCATTTCACATTGGTGCAAACTAATTTCATCAACTGGCACAATTGTCTAGTATTTTATATAGGATCATGTTTACAATGAAACTGAATGATCCAAACATATTTCTACATCTTATCAATGTCGTTAAAACAATTTTGGAATGTTCTGGCTTAAACTATGTATGGATATCTCAAACTTGTAAGATTTGTCTTAAAGGCAACCTTATAAGTAAGTCTATATTATGTAACCAGTTTTATCAACATCGGAACGAATGTGAATCTAAATCTACTAAAGGCCACTATTATAGCTTGTTTAAGTTACCTTGAAGGTTACCTATTACACCTTCCATTAAATGTACCCATCTGGCTTACCTATATTAGAACTTGTAACCAGAAACTCCCAATAGAAACAGGTAGATGGTATAATATTATTAAAGAAGAAAGATTATGTACATTGTGTATGAATACAATAAGAGATGAACTTCACTTCATGTTATTTTGTCCATATTTAAGAAAAGTAAGAAATTCATTTCTACCAAACTATTATTGTAATTTTCCATCATTAGTTAAATTTATGTCCCTAATGTCTTGTATGCAGAAAGCACTACTGTTACAATAAGCAACTATGTGAAAGCCAGTCTACGTATGCTCCCATAAACAAATCTGTACATTTGTACGTTTCTCTATGTCACTATTGTGATCTTCATGAGAATATACCATTCAATTCAATTCCCGGGAAGACGACATCTTGTATTACAGTGAAAATCCTTTGATGTTTCGCCGAGGTAGATATGTGTTGCTTTGAGGTGGGTTATACTAAACACTGAACTGCATAACGAAATCGGAGTTCACGGGATCGGTGGGCCAGGCTCACTGCTTGTAATCGTGTTTCAACTGCACTGATAGATGTCGCTGGGGTATTTTTTATTATTTCAAGACCGTCATCACAGAGACGGAATATTGCCGAGTGCGGCATTGAAAACAATCAACTATATTTCACCTAAAGGTGTGCGTGTGAGATGGTTTTTGACTTCTACAGTGTTATCGAAAACAAAGAGTGGGGTGCCAAGGGATATAACCAACCAACCAATCAAACAAACAAACTTAAAGATGGACCAAGCAAAAGTCATATGATTTTATTAATGTAGACATTCTCATGTCCCATGGCAGTTATACTTTACTATAGTCAGCCTATTGTTCATGTGACGTAATGTTACTTTGTGACTTCATGACTAAGGGACGAACTATGTCTTATCTGTGCGCCGGAATAAGAAGTGAACAGTCTTTAGTTTACAGCTGGAAGAACTTTGATACCGTTAATGGAATATTATTGGAAATATAAGAAATATCCTCTATTTAATTCCTACTTCGGGAACGAACAGATGGTAAGATACAAAAGTCACACCGCAAGGTCACACTGACCCGGAACTACTTTGGGATTCAAAACAACCAGGAGAGTTCATTCATTTTGTTCAACTTTTACTGCTTCGAATTTGGTTGTGAATTTGGTCTGGGAAATGAAATTATAACAAAAACGTCACCTAACTTCAAATAATCAGTGCGCATTTTCAGCTACGGTCTCTGCCAAGGAGGGGTAGCGGGGGTAGCCTAGTGGTTAAAGCGTTCGCTCGTCACGCCGAAAACCCGGGTTCGATTCCCCACATGGGTGCAATGTGTGAAGCCCATTTGTGGTTTCCCCCGCCGTGATATTGCTGGAACATTGCTAAAAACGGAGTAAAACCATACTCACTCACTCTGCCAAGGAGATGTTAATTCCATTCCACAATTAACATATTCTTCACCTATTTCATGATTGAAAAGTTGACAAAGTTTAAGAAACGTATGCCACAAAAGAATTTCCGTTCTTTTACAGTATATTTTATACAAAAGATATTTCCAATTTTCATATTATCATTTGTAAATAAACTATATAGTTTTCATGTATATGGAATATATTGATGTATCTGCCCTATCCCCAAATGGCGCCATCGTATGGTAGAGCGTTTTAATTATATTGAAAATATTCTAGATTTATTAGATTTCAGTATTCGCGCTTCAAACAAGAGAATGGGCGGCGGTGTAGCCTAGTGGTTGAAGCGTTTGCTCGTCAAGCCGAAGACATTCGGGTTCTATTCAACACATGGACACAATGTGTGAAGCCCATTTCTGGTGTCCCCACATCTATATTAAATTCAAAATCTCTAATACTCTTTACCTATTTCATATTTTTTTTACCTTTTTAATTCGGCATCCCTTTCAAATTTCCCTTTTTTTAGGGTAGTAACACCCCTCTTTCAAAATTTATATCTTTTGTTCCCCTCATTTTTTTAATAAGAGTACTACCTCGTCACCGAAATACCTTAGTTGTGCGTGCGACATTAAATAACGCAAATAACTACTACTACCTTACTCCAAACGACACACCCCTTCTTCATTGATAATTGGGCTGTTCCATTATTCTACAGGGTAAAAAATCATTTCCCACGATGCCTACAATATTTTTGTTGGCAGTTTGGGATGTAGGCAGTATGGGACTTAACCCACGGTTATAGTGCTGGAAATATTTTTTAACCTTTCCACAATTTCGAGAAAGATCCGTCAACGTGATATGCAAATTTGCATGTTGCTATTGCGTAATTCAAAGTCGTCAATGTGTGGGAGAGTTGAAATGCATTCTCCAACCTCGAGTCCCTTGCGTCAAGAGCAAACAACGAATCAGCACATCTTACACTAACCAACAAATATATAGTTCTTCCTATCCCACTTTTAAAAAGGGCGCACGTAATGAATAGTGAGTGAGTTTAGTTTTACGCCGCTTTTAGCAATATTCCAGCAATATCACTGCGGGGGACACCAGAAATGGACTTAACACATTGTGCCTATGTGGGAAATCGAACCCGGGTTTTCGGCGTGACGAGCGAACGCCTTAACCACTAGGCTACCCCACCGCCCCCGTAATGAATAACTAAAGCTATGAAATGGTTTGTTTTTAGTGAAAAACATCCTAACACGAAGAAAAGGCTTTCGTTTCACATTTTCTGTCGCATTCAAATATATGATATCACTGTTCATTGTTTTCAAACTCAATTCAAAACTGGTAGCCCAGTGGTTAAAGCGTTCGCTCGTCACACAGAAAACCGGGTTCGAGTCCCCACATGGGTACATTGTGTGAAGCCCATTTCTGGTGTCCATCGCCGTGATATTGCTGGAATATTGCTAAAAACGGCTTAAAACCCAACTTACTCACTCACTCGCTCACTAACTCTGATTGGTTTGTCTTATTTAAGCTCAAAACCTTCATCGAAAGCGGGACGGGTCTTCTTGCAGGTTACGGAATGGGGCGAATGGAGACGAATGCACACTATCTTGAAGTGGCACGCCGTATGGGCCTCATAATGTCCGGTCTGGCTTTGTGTGTGCTGGGGTGAAGTACTGGGAAGTCTATCGGAAGTGATATTCAACTTGGGCCCTGCAGTGACGAATAATGATGCGTGAAAAGTCGCCTTTGAGGTCAAGTGAGTGAATGATTGAGTTTAGTTTTAAGCCAGCTATATCGCGCCGGTCTGTAAATGATCGAGTCTGGACCAGACAATCCAGTGATCAACAGCATGAGCAGCGATCTAAGCAATTGGGATACGATGACATGTGTCAACCAAGTCAGCGAGCCTGACCACCCGATCCCATTAGTCGCCTCTTACAACAAGCATGGGTTA